CCAGAGTATCCGAGCCCGGTGTATCCAATACCGCTGTAAGGGCTGTAGGGTAGGTGCGATTCCAGGAGCGCCTATTAGACCTGTGTGATAGGTTGAGATACCTCCGAGATCACCTCCGAGACCGAGTTTTTTTTTTTACCCGCTTGTCGTGCTTTTTCGAGTCTTCCTTCGAGGCCGCCAACACGGCGGTTGCCAACAATACAATCTGCACATTTGTGAGAAAAAAAAAAAATCAATGAAATGGTACACCTTTAAAAGCGTCGTTTTAAAATACTTTTGCGTTGAGATTATTACGGGTCTGAGTTAAGCAGAAAACTTGACTAGACTTTACACTGTTGTGTTCAAATTTAATTGTTAATTTATTTCAATTATTATACGTTATATTTAATTAACATAATCAGATAGTCTAATATTTTTGTAGCTCTTTTAAAGTGTATAATTATTAAGCGATGAGTTTTATTCATAATGATGAATTTTTTTTAGCAATTTTGAAATAACCAATAAGCAATATCAATTTGAGAAGTGACAAGTATATACATCCGACACACAGTAAATAACCGTTTTCTTGTACCGGTCGATCTGCGTGTGTGTTTAAGAGATCTTTTTAACTTACCGCGAAGCTCCTCATTGTATCTCGTGGTAGTTTTGGATCGAGTGTGCCATCAGCCTGATCGGTCCGCGTTTTTATACGAAATGTCCGGTTCGCGATGTATGCGATTACTTTCACTGAAACGGCGAAGAACACGCCCTGCTCCGCGATCCGCGCACCTCCGATTATTTTTTCTGCGACCAGTCGGTCGGTCGGTCGGTCGGTCGGTCGGTTGGTTGGTCGGTTGGTTGGTTGGTTGGTCGGTTGATTGGTTGGTCCATCCGATCCTCCGATCTGACGTAACGGCCGGAGCTGTGGCAAACTCTTACGACTTAAAACGGGTCCGATTCCGCATTATTACGCGGCTGTTACGTGCCGCGTAATTGTCTATATCGGTGTATATATATATATATATATATATAG